CAATATATATATATATATATATACACACACACACACACACACACACATCTGTCTAAACCCATCCAGGATAACTTCTTACTGAAGAGACCCAAATGAAAATTGAAGAGGTCAAATGGGGAAGAGGTGCAAGTGACTGTCTTGAGCCCCTTGCTAGTCAGGGGAAGTGCACTGGTAGGGTGTTTGAGAGAAAACACCCCACCCAAATATGATTTTCAGCAATTTTGATGGATTAAGAAAGTCTCTCCTGAAGTCTTATTCTGTTTTGAAATATCTAATATGATAGAATGAAATTAACCAAACTAAAAAAATGTAATATGATGCTAATCCAGTCTAAGTTTTTGAAAAAATTATGAAGTTAAAAACTCTCAGCAATTGATATTTCTCTGAATTTTTCAAAAAAGCTGCAGTATGTCTGATCTTAGAAACTTATAAAAATTATACTGCTGCACTGTCAAACACAAAATTTTGACTGCCTTTATTAACAATTAATAATTATTAACTGTCCAAAATTCCAAATGTTTATCTGTGCAAGCTTCAATCACAAACTTAACTCTAAAAAATTAAAACTTCTACAAATAAACAACAGAATATGGAAAATACTTTCAAGTGAAAAAGTCTGTTACATCTATCAGAGTCTGTCATCTACTGCATACTTGAAGTACTTAGTAGGGTGTCAATAGTATTTTTTTCAGATATCACTAATCATCCAGCCCTACTGCCAATCATATGCTTATAAATATGTTGAATAAATGGTACTTTGTCTAGAATAAAGAAACGAAGTACATTGGCTACTTCGATTGGGAGCCATTTCTGAAAATAACTCTATCGGACAGTTTAATTTTTAAAAAAAGTATCATGAAACTGAATTAAAGGTAGGCTATTTTTGTGAAAAAACTGAGACTTTTTATTCAGCAATAAACTAGACACACTACAGAGTAAAGTTTTTCAAAAGCAATTGAAAGTTTAAATGCTACAATTGGAAAATATTCCATGTTGGTATTTAAATGTAATAGCTTTTTTTTTTAAGTTAATACATACAGTTATCCCTGAATATCGTTAAATAATTTTGCTATGAATTTACATTATTTCAAAATGATACTAAATGAAAATTAAGCATAACAAAGACTAAGCAAATGTGATTGAGAAAAACAAATTATGAGAAGATTAGCTGAACACAACTTGAATAAAATATGTGTAAATCATAATATACAATTTTGCAAGCTGATATCTTTCTTGTGTGGATCAACAGTAATACATTACTAGAATCTCCATAATCTGTTGCTTTGATTTAAAAAGAGGTGTGTCTCTATTTAAAAATAAGCAGTAAATCTAGCTTCTGTAACACATGAATGGAGAACTGTATAGTACTCTTTGTTATGTACACAGAATTATCCAGTTCTGAAAATAAAAAAAAATCAATCATTTTCCACTAAAAACCACATACTTATCTAAACCATACCATATTATATATAAAATTTTATCTCCTTGCTTCAATAAATGCTTAATCTGGGTGTTGGTAAATGAGAAAAAGCAAAAGGTTGTCATTAATGTAGTCCAGTCAAACTAGAACCTTGTTACTAGTAAAATGCCTTTGGGGGTCAGTGCTTGGACCTTTTTAATTTTTATTAATAATAATACTGAAAGGATCATAATTAGTAAGGTCTGCTACTGACACTTAACTCTCGATTCTAGCTGTATTGAGGATATTAGGGTATTCAATTCCAATTTTTAAGTTGGACAAATATTTGGTGAAAGATCTCTAATTACAGTAAGTGAAAATTAAAGATTTTGGTTATAATTTAGATCATAAATTTTATATATATATATCTTGGGCCCACTCAGTTGCATGACTGAAGAAAAGGATTTTAGCATAGTAGTGGATAAACCACTCAAGTAATCAAAGCATCACTCTGTTACTAATAGTAAAAAAAGTAACAGGATTTTAGGGTTTATTTATAGACACTGATTACAAGTCAGGAGCGATAATGATCTCTATATATAAATCACTAGTGAGGCCTCACTTGAAATTCTGTATATGGCTTTGGTATCTTTATCTAAGAAAGCATTTTGACATTTTCCAAATGGTTCATAGGATGGCTACTAAGATAAAACTGGGGATGCAAAGGTTAATAGTTAAGGGTTAGATCTCTCATTTTCTCACAAAAAAAAGAAAAGTAAGAGGTGCTCTTACTGATGTTTACAATGTTACCTAGGTGATCTAAGATAAGGGCCTCCAATTTCTTTGTATTAAATTCTGAAGGTAACAGGATGAGAGGACACAATCTAAAATGTAGCAAAACAGGTCAGACTCCAGTTAAGACAGTTTTATTCTCTAACAGGGTGACTTACTTAAGGAACGAGTTGCTGATGGCAGTAAACAAAGTCACCATTTGAAGAGTTTAAAAGGAGAATTGACAATTTTGTTAGAAATAAAGTTTGGTTTTTAAATTTCTATATTCTCAAATGTGGGTGAAAAAGGACACAAAAAGGACCAATCTGTCTCTTATGTCCATGTTATATTAGGCAAGTTTCAACTACTGCCATATTGCTTTAATTTTTAATAATTTTACAGTTTGTATATGTATTTTCTTTACACCAAAACCAACTTTGTATACTTTTTTTTAAACTCTAGTTTACATACACTAAAAACTCTAAAATTTCATATTGCAGATTACAAAAACAAGATTAAATAAATTAACATAAAATAACACTTTTGATCTTGGTTCATGAAAAGTAATTTCTTGTAGTACAAAATAATATAATTTCTCACATACACTTTTGCCTAACATCACTAAAATAATCATTCTAAAATACAAGAGTGAAAAAAAAAATCAAAGAGAACATTAGAAAAAAGTGAGATACCCAATTTAGTCCATCAAATTCATACCCCACTTACCAAAACTTAGTTATTTCACCGAGTTCATTAATGATGAATCATATGAAACATTTAAGACAGAGACATTATAGATAAAGGCTAAAGCACAAGTTAAAAACCTTCAATGATTTGTCATTATACATTATAAAACAAGTGTAAAAGATTTTTCTATCAACTGCAACAAATTCCCCTGACATCAATTACTTTAACATTAGTGATTTACAAATATAACCTATTCTAAAAAAAGCCACATTACTTAATATCAAAAGCACCCAGTTCATAATAATTCTCTACACTAAGTTTACCTACAAATTATTAACAATGCAAAGCACTGATGGTAACAAATCAATTGCACTTAAATATATGATAACAAAAAAGAAAAAAAGTGAAGACCAGAATATTACTATTAACATTATAATGCTAATTTTCATTATAAAATATTTTAATCCTCTTACATTCTAAATTACTTGTTTGAAAACAATACTGAGATAAAAGTAAGAACACTAAAAGTAAAGACAAATAATAAAAAATGCAAGTCTATATTTATAGCACAACTTACAACTACAAGGCCATCTGATATAAATTATTATATTAAAGTTAAATTATAACTGCAGGTGGGCTAATCTACCATCTGTTTTGCAAAGTGTATTTTGTTTAAATTATTATAATCAATAATAACAATTATCTACTACATACTAGATAATATAGTAAAACTAAAATGGTAACACTGTGTTATAATACTTAATACATTAATACTAATAGTCTACATTCTGTAGTAAAATTAAAAGGTAGAATAATACTGATAATAATAATATGCTTCTCATAATTGCATCTCAACAGTAAAGTATTTATTACGGAAATAAAAAAGTCCCTAATACTCAATAAAATCAAGAATAGGATACAATTTATATGACTCGGGCTATAGTCTGTACCCTTGTGTAGGCTTTATAAAATTATAGCCTAACCCTCTGAACTTGGTCCAAGTCAATTTTTTTCATTTTCTCATGCCCCATCACAAATCTATATGTATTTTACTCACAACATTCAAACTTCCCCTTCCTGGAATTGGTGGTGGCCTTTTTACTTGATTTGTAAATTCAATATACAATGTTTTTCCATGATTTGTGGAGAAATTTCTCACGTCCGGAAAGAAATCGACAACGTGTATGATATTTCACTTCTAAACATGGCGGACAAAACAACCCTATGCTGCTGTAAAGTTATGCGCTTTTACGAGATGAGGCCGTGCGCAAACGTTTGCCTATTGCCTCTCCTACCACCAGAGACTGTGAGTCATTGCTGACGTCCATAATGTGATATTACAGTAGTATCCACCAGACGGCAAAGTGCAACGTTCTTTTACGGGTGCGGTTGCGTAAAATTATCCATCGTGAAAATAATTTAAAATGAATAATGTGTAAATTGCAGAATGCTGATGACTGGGTGTAATCACAGTATATCATCGGCTACAAATAAAATTAACTGAATTCTTCTGTCTTATAATACTTTTTTGTTTTTTACTGGGTAGCAGTACACTTTATAATGTAACAACAACTACAATATTTCCCAGATTGTGTAGAATATAATCGTGCTATTTACGCCTATGTGTCATGTCGAGATTATATTCTATTTGGATTATATGTGAGAAATAAGCAAAAAGATCACAAGTAGACCTGGAATGGTGTACTGACTAACGACGTCTAATAAAAAGATTTTACTGTTTTAAACTTGTGAAATACGACCTATTACAATAGTACATAATTGTTTACTTGTCTCTGAATATGTGTTCATTTAACAGGCTGTATATTGGCAATTTAAAATATCGTCTCGTTTTCAGTCTTCCTACACTAGAGTAGAAAAAGGGCTTGCTATATAAAAAGAAATAAAAGTGAACTATGGCGTACAAAAAAAAATGATCTGTTTTTACACAATTAAATGATATTGTGTTAACGCCTAATGCTACGTCTCATGATAAACATAACTTATAACAATTAAATAACGTAACATAATGTTTAGGACAACATGGGACCTATTGGTTCATCTTGGCTGTCCCATCCTCTAAACTAACTAAAACGCTCTCAAAGGTGATATATAGGTGTTCATAAGTTTTACCAACAGCAGAAGATGACTTCAAGTAATATGCCAGTTAATACCTGTTTCTTTTCTTCACAACTACATTCTCGCAAACACAGGTTTACAATGGCACTGCAATTTTCTGTCGTTTACGCAACCTTTAGTACAAACATTAAATATATAAATAAGTATTAGTATTGTATTGCATAAGAGCTTCAGAACCAAACATAGTGAGCGGAACTGCAGATCTGTCAAAAATAAATTATGATCTGCACTTTGGGGCTGTGGATGCATTATAAGAACGATAGTCAAATCCTAATAATTGGTCTGATAACAGTTGGCGGTGGATAGAGTTGAATAACTACTGTTGCGTCATCGAGGTCACGTAACGAGAGAGACGTATTGTTGTTATAGCGTTTGTTTTAGCGCGATTGTTGAAATTAAGTGTATCGTAAAGTTATATTCGGAAAGAAAAAACCAGTTTAATTAAGTAAGGACTTGTGTCGCTAAAGTTTCATCGGAACGAAGTTACAGAAAGTTAATTAACAAACGGAGACGTAACAAATTGGTGTCAGAAGTGGGATAGAAAAAAAAATGAAAACGAGAAGCGGCAAATCAAACTACAGCCTGGTTCTCTTCTCGTTCTTCTTGTTTCTTTTGCTGTTCGTGTATTGCTGCCATCAAGTCTGTCTTCTTGTTTCTTTTCTTTTTCCTCCAACAACTGCTGTAATCGACAAAATAAACAAGAAAAGAAACAAGAAGAACGACAAAATAAACAAGAAAAGAAACAAGAAGAACGAGAAGAGAAATTACAACAGTTGTTAGAGGAAAAAGAAAAGAAACAAGAAGAACGAGAAGAGAAATTACAACAGTTGTTAGAGGAAAAAGAAAAGAAACAAGAAGAGAGACAACAGCAGCTGCAAGAAAACCTGCAACAATGGCAGCTCGAACAACAAAATAAACAAGAAAAGAAACAAGAAGAGAAATTACGGCAGTTGTTAGAGGAAAAGAAAAGAAACAAGAAGAACGAGAAGAGAAATTACAACAGTTGTTAGAGGAAAAAGAAAAGAAACAAGAAGAACGAGAAGAGAAATTACAACAGTTGTTAGAGGAAAAAGAAAAGAAACAAGAAGAACGAGAAGAGAAATTACAACAGTTGTTAGAGGAAAA